TTTTAAATATAATATTATTTATTTATTTAATAGATTTTTTAATAGATTTAGTATTCTATTTATTTTCAATAAAAAAAACAATCTTTTTAAAAAAATTTTATTTTAAATGCATATATTGTCTTTTGTAGAACATCTGTAATATTAATGTTCTTTGATTTTTTTCTAGAAGTGGTGACTTGCACATAAGTACTCGACTTTTTCTATTAATTAAACATATTAATTAATATAATGAATCAAATAATGTATCTAAATCAAATAACGTAATAATGGGTCTAAATTAAATAACGTAACTAAATCTAATAATGTAATAATGTAACTAAATCTAATAATGTAGTAACTTATCTAAGTCTAATAATATAGTAATGTATCTAAATATAAAAATGCGGAAATGACCACTTTTCTGCTTGTTGTTTTCTTTAAGTCCTACGCTTTGTTTCAGACAATTATAATTAAATAATAAAATTATTTTATTATTATTATTTTTTTTTTTTATAAATTAATAGAATTTTTTTATTTAATTTGTATATATCAAGATATATAGTATATTATAAAAAAAATAATATCTCTTATATGTTGATACAATCAGTTAAATGCTAGATTTCTTATAGTTAAAAATAAATCGCTAAATTAAAGATAAGACACAATTCAAATATCTCTTACTATTAAAAAAAATTTTTTTTAAAAAATATAATATCAAAAAAAAAAATTATTTACAAAAGTTTTTTGTAATTTAAACCATTTGATTCAAGTTTTTTTGAATTATATTTCTATTAAAATAAGAAACAAATAATTATATTCCTTTAAAAGAAAAATAATTAATTTGTAAAATTTTATATATTAAATAATTTAAGGATTTATTCTTACTTACAGTAACTATATAATTAATATTAAAAAGAAAATTTAAAATAATATATTTTGTTAGATAACATCAAATAGTTATAAATACTTATTTAATATTAGAAGAAATAAAATTAAAGTTAGAAGATAAGAATGTTAGGCTATAAATATATTTGAAATAAATATATTTTAATTAAATAAATAAGTTAGTAATAATAAAAAGTAAATTAATGATAATGTCTTTTTATAAGTTAATATTGAATATGTTTTTGACTTGTAAGGTATTTTTATTTTTTTATTTAAAGGGATTAAATAGATTAAAAAAAATAAAATTTATAAAATCATCTATATTTAATATTTTGTTATAATTTTTGTTATCTATAATAATATAAACTCTAAAAGACATTATTCATAAGATTAAAACTTTACTATAAGTAAATTTATTATAAGAAATATGTTTTATAAATAGTAAAAAAATGATATTATTAATAAATTAAAGATTTATATATAAAAACTATTTTTGATAAATATAAAAGTTTTTTAATATTTACCTATAGGACACTTCCATCACACTTGAAGCATGAGTGTGCCAAATCCTTTTTGTAACTTGGAGGCCAACTTATATAAAGTGGCCACAGTACCTTTATATAAAAAGGTATTCATTTTCTATTACCTCCAACATTACTTCACTTGCTGTATATCAAGCCATATTTGGAAAGCAGGTGTGCCAATCCTAATCATGACTTGGAGGCCAACCTGTATAGATTAGCTGCAGCACCTTCATGTGATTAAGTACTCATTCAATTCTAGATAGCTAGATACTATTCATAACTAGATATAAATTTTTGAATTTTTTTTTATCTATATTCCTTGAATGGAGCTAAAAAAGCACAGGGGTTGGATACCGTATGGTAGCCTTATGTTAAACTCTTCTTAGCAAAGAGAGACATATGTCATACTATTGATTATTATACCTTACCTTGTAAGTGAAAGTATAATAAATATAATAAAGCATGATAGCCATTTGCTCTTTTCAAAAAAAAAAAAGTTTTTTTAATATTTTGTTATTTTTAAAAAACTATATATTTTATTAAATAAAAATTTATGAAACTTAATATTTAAAAACTTTAATATAAGTTGAACAAAATTTATTAATATTAAATTGTTTGCTAAAACAGTAGTTATAAAAATCCAGTAAGTGTCAAAATTTGACAAAAAGTTAAAGATATTTATTTAAAAAATTTTTTAAATATAATAATAAAAGCTTATTTAAATTTAATTTTTTTAAAATACATAATAAAATGCTTAAACAATAAAAATAAAAATAATTCAATTTAAATCCATCTATTTATTATTTATATAATCACTTGTTTTTTAAAGATTATATCAAAAGTCCATGTAATAAAATACAATTGATAAACAAAAAAATCTATAAAAATTTTTAAAGCTTTTATATTTTAATATCAATCATTAAAAATAGATCATTATGTATTAAATAATGTTTTATTGAATTGATATGCCGATTTTACTAAAAGTAAACTTGTTAATTAATTTTTATTGGTTTTATTTACATATGACTTAATAAATTAAAATATACCGTAGTAAATTTATTTTATTGTTTAATAATAGTATAAGAGTTATAATAAAGAAGTTTTATAAAAAGTAGCAGGTTTTTAAGATAACACGTGAAAGTAATATATATTTTTTAAATATTATACAGTTAATACTATTGAATTTTTTAATAAAATTTTTAAATAACAAAAATCATATAGTAATAAACAAGATTCATGTTTTCCTTAATGATTATTAATTTGAATTTATTTAAATATCATTAAATTTAAAACCATTTAGATATCACTATTGTTGTTTATAATTGATAAATTAATTAGATATGTTTTTTGCTTTTATAGGGGTTATGGTATTTTCATTATCAATAGCTTCTTGAATAATTGTTCAAGAAATAGACATTATTTTTTTAAAATTAAATTAGAATCTTAAAATAATTCAGAATACAAGATATATTAATTAGTAGCAGTAACATAACGCGACGGCGCGTTACATAATTAGTGTAGCTGTGGGATGGAAAGCTAAATGATGATGCAGGTAAACATGTGGCGCAAGTAATTGGCATGTAAACCGTCCTAGCATGTATAACTATGACTGCCAAACGAAGAGAAATAAAGAGAGAGTAATTGTGCCTACATTTTAGTGTTCTAATAAATAACTTATTTAAGTAAAAACTCTTACCTAGTTATATCCAATCCTCGTGCGCGTTTTTAACTTGATCACGTGACTAATATTGAACCAGAATTGACTAGATGAGGAGGGAAGGTTCTAGTAATTGAGCAGGGTTCGTACTATTATCTAGGATGAAAATTTCGATCTAATCAACACGCCTAGAGGGGGAGAAAACCGAATAGAATGCTTGCCTGATCCTGGGACCCGTAACAACATAACGATTTGGAACATGGAATTTGTGATAATGAATAAAATACAGTACATAGTTGGATTATTCGAGTATTAGGTCAATACATCATAACTTATTAGGATTAACCTTTATAAATATCCAGCAAGTATACGCACGATGGTCATAACAAACAACACAGGCAAGAATTTTTACTTAAATTTATTTATTTTATTACATTTAAGCTATCTAATTGCTAGTATAAGAAAACACCATCTTCTTTCTACTGCATTTTTTTCAATCGTTCTTCCACAACAGCACCAACTACCTATTACATCGTCAATTCCATTACTCGTATCATAATTACCTATAAAGTGAGTTGTGTTCTTGATTGTTCGGTTTAAGGCTCTGGTAAAATAAATTTGTGTGTGGTACGAGCTGTCAAGAATTAATTCGACCTCACAATCACCATCGAGCTATAGTCTGTGAGTAATTTGGATTAGTACGGATCTTTTTTCAGTCTAATATATTGTAAGGGGGTAAGTTGAGACGCGACACATATCACGTGACTGATCGTCGCGAAGGGTATCGCGGAAAACCTGTTCTTAGATGGCGATGCACGCTTATCTAATGAGGGGGAAAAGAAGGAAGTAATTGTGAGAAGGGACTTATGTAATAAAAGACTTAGCTTACCTATTGTTAGTAAAGTATAGCCGCACTAGCCTCTGTAAATAAAGAGAGATGTATAAAAGAAAGAGATAAGCTTTAATAAAGGGAACAAGACCCGTTATAACAATAAATTACTCGACCAAATCTAAACACGCCTCCTTCACCTTAAATACTACTGATACTATCCGTGGTTACGCGAAACCTTGTCTGCCTTAGCGACTGACTCGCCGTTACACCCCCACACTATATATAAATTAAGATGCATCTTTTATTGCCTATTTGGATGAAAGGAACAACCACCGATATTGCAAGATCATCGTGACCTTGTATATCCGAAGAAAATTACGTAAAAAAGAGACATCAAATGAAAGGATTAATGCAGCAAAATATCTTGATTTAACTAAAGAATCTAACCGATTTCAAAAAATGAGACGAAAATACTCACATGCCAAAAACCAGATCCTCCTGACTATTTTACGCCCGAAGCTATACTTTTGAAAGATCTCAAGGGTACAGTATATCGGGTTAATAATCAATATTTTCATTTGAGATCGCCGGTCTGAGACAAACAAATCTGAGATGTGTGTTATTATATTAGTAAAACTAGCTTTGCTTAACTCATATTAAGATGCGATGAAGGTGCGATGAAAGGTGCGATGTAGTTACGATAAACTTTTTTCATATATAACCATTATGAAAATGTTAATGAAAATAAGTATATCTTGTTAAGCACAATTTTTTTATAATCGATATGTTGACCGATACACTTACTAATCAACGAAAGAAGAAACTGAATGTTGAGTACCACACAGTAGTAGTATAGATTTCTGGAATGGCATAATTCTATTTCAATGTATAATCAACTATAAATAATATTGTGACCAAGGATACTAGTACAATATGAGAGGATTCAGTAAATCAAACCAACGCCCGTGCCACCTACCTTGGGCCGAAGCTGCTAATTCCGAGGATCATATGTATAATACTACAAAAAGCCGTTCATCAATTCTCCCCAAAATTGACCGTGATCAAAATAAACTACAAGGTTTATTGCAAGAATTATCACGCCTATTAAGGGAGAGTCTACCGAAGATAGTGATGATGAGGATGAAGATCTTGAAAGTTCGTTATCTAAAGGTTTGGCTTGTTTATATCAAAAAGCGATTAAAGCTAAAAAACGTGTGACTCAGGTATATCAAGAAGAAACTCAGTGTTTGTATTACTATGTTGAAGGGTTCGAAAAAAATGGTAAGGAAATTGCATAAACAATAGTGATTGGTAATAAAATGACCGGGGGAATTTATACGAGAAGGCAAAAAGCTAGAACTTTGTTTAGCAAAATACAGTAATTAATTAAACAAACAGGTCTCGTGATGTTTGAATTTCTAATTGTGTGATGCGTGGTTTCCCATAATGGAAAAGGTTGAGATGTTCTTCTCACCACTCGCCTGGTTTACTTACGCTACGATACCTCCGGTCTGTGCATTTTTTGGCTGATCGGTTTGTATACAGCATTTTCACACTGCCAAATTCGTTGGCGACTTTGTCTCCTTTGTCGCCCCTCTAACTTATTTTCACTTCACATTCTTTTAGGCATTCCCTTTCTCCTTTTTTTCCTCGATATTTGCTATTGTATTTGGTATTATACAGTTGTGAAAGGGTGAGAATTATAACATCAATAAATCAAACTTCACGTTTTATATAACCTAAATACTTTCAACATAGCAATTACGCCTTGTCCAATAAGCAACACTACTTATTCATCCAACGAGTAAATATAATGTTATTTGGATCACTTTAGTTAATAAAAGCTTACTTTTGCCATATTATTTTTAGAATGTCTAAAGATTTAGAAGATATAGAAGATTTCCCATCTACCCGTGAGGCACTTGAAACTATTTTTTCGCAAGCCTCCAACGAAGAAGTTACAAAATACGTGAAGCAACTTGATGGTGTCAATATTCTCGATCCAGTCCTTGTTATTTCTCCAAATCAAGCTTGGATCAATCAGCATGGTTGGCCGGCTTATTACGCAGTTATGGATGGATTTGCGACCAATGGTCTCCAAAATAGGCGAAGAGATGAGAATTCTCGTTGTATCTTTCACTTCACTTTCCTCACCGAACTCTATACTGTGCGCGAAAATATTTATAATATTTTTCCCAACGCCTTCTTCATTTCTCCTTCTCTCCAAGCTTAATTCCCCACTTCTCAAATAAATCCGATTGGAACTGCACGGATATTAATGAAAATGGGAGCACACAAAAGTGATTTTGGGGTAGATAATGTGTTCTTTTGCTCTAGATAAGCAAATCTCGATTTTCTTTTACCTGTCATTCTAATTACATGTTTATATGTGATCGTATTATTTAATTTTTTGCTATTAATAAAGCCGACTCACGAAGACTATCATTATACTGTATTATTGCATATTTTTATATAAGCAATTCAAAAATTTTCCCGAAGTTGTAAGCTAAAATAAATCCTAATTTGGAACGTAAGGCGACTGTACATTCATTCTTATGCACGTATCTTGATTATGTTAGTAGTCATTTTATGTATTACAATTCGTATATATATTAATTAGTAAAATATTTATAGTAACAGACAAAAAAAGGGGGGCTTGAAGATTTTGCGTATAAGTTTTTGTCAAAAAAGTTCTCTTAAGTGATCATGATAAAAATTACAAATTTGCTTTACGTTTACTTTCACAACCTTCTAACAGAAAAATATAATAATGGAAATGGTAGTATTAATGTCAAATAATGAATGTTAACCTTTTCATAATGTTGGTATTCAAAAGTAATATTTAAGTTAATATATAGAAATAATATAGCTTCCTATTCTATCGTGAATGTTTTATTTTTATTATTCTTACACTATTAGATTTAACTTTCAAGGTCATAAATTTAGAATCTGAAAATAATGATCACGATCAATTAGTGGACATTAGATTTTATAAGGAGCAATGTTGATAAAGGTGAATTACTTACCGTGATCAGATTTTGCTAAGCTTAGCGATTCCTGAAGATTTTCGAAGTCGAGTAGTCGACTCGTATACATTGCTGATTGATGTTTCTCATATGTTACACTACTAGCTAAATAATTCGACCCAATCTTTTCATGTTCTTTGATTTGTTTTGCAAGTTCTGAATTTGGGTTACATTTATAATGACACCATGGTATTAAAATGCTGCATAATTCGTACGCTCTTAATCGATTTTGCGGTTCAACATCCCAGCACTTTTCTATCAACTCAGTTATCATACTAGGCATATTTCTCTTGATTTCGGGTCGAAGGCCATTATAAATTCTAATTGCGAGATTTTTATCATGTGGCACGTTTCTAAAAGGAGGAATACCGGATAAAATTTCATTCATGATAATCCCAAATGAATAAATGTCTGATGACTCTGTATATTCTCCCCCGCATAAAACCTCGGGTGCCACGTATGGAAGTACACCGTACACTTTTTTCTTTTCAGTTATGTTGCTAGCGTACTGCTCGACCGGTTTGCATAGACCCAAATCTGTCACGTAAAGTAGATTTCCTTCGGATAAAAGAATATTTCCAGTATGAAGATCTCGGTGAACAAGTTTAGCTTCGTGGATTTGACATAATCCTTTTGCAATTCGAAATAAACATCTAAATTTTTTTTCCCATGACATTTCACGAAATTTAGGTAGGTTGTTCCTAATACTTCCAAAAGAAACAAACTCCATAACTATCATCAAATTATTGGTTTCATCGTGTCGAGTGATTCCATAACATCGTGTAATGTGAGAGGCTTTTCCACTAAAATTGTAATAATTTCTCATCTAAATTTATATATGAACAAACAAATAATAATTATTAAATCCAGTATCCTATTATATTTTTAGTTAAATATTAGTTACCTCATTTAAGAATTCGTAAGAGATATTTTGCGAATTATTAAGACATTTTAGTGCGACCTTCATAATTCCCCTTCTTTTCCACCGATTATTTCTAGCACTCCAATAAATAATATTTCCATCAGACCATTCAGCTGAGTATACTTCTGAAAATCCGCCTTTATCAATATATGTTATATCTTTAAATTTTGAATATGGAATCCATTCGAGTATTGTATAGTTATCTGTGGCTTGTAATTGGGTCTCTTTTATGAATGCGTCAATGTTACTATTTCCACTTTTCCAATTATCAAATTCTTGTCGAAACCGTAATGAATTACATGGTTGACACCAGAAAGAAGCCGTGGTTCCTTTATTGCACTGATTACATGTTTTCCCTATAATAATATTAGTATATTTCATGAATTGATTAAACAATAACTTGAATACGGTGTTTTAATTACCATCTGCAGTGTTAATAAAGAATTAAGATTTAGTCCTTTTACGAGGATTTAAAAAGAACAACTCCTGGAAATGCAACTTACTATAAAATTAATAATTAATACTTAGTAAAATAATACACCGAATCTCAGAACAGATAATAAATATCCAAGTTTAACTTACAATCTATATATTTGAGTTAAATTTGATTAATTTATTTTATATAAACATTTGAAATGACAAAAGATAATTACCCCCTATAAAATTACATGTTAATAATATGATTAAGTTTCTTATAAAAATTCGAAGCAAATAAAAAGGTATGCTACTGCATTCAACTTACAATCTATAATGTTAAGAGTGAAAATTTGATTAAATAATTATTTTTTTGTGCAAATTGTGTAAACATCCTCTTACCGTCTGCAATGTTAAAAACGTTAATATGATTAAGTTATCTTATTTTAACAAACGAAATTAAAAATGCTTTATATTAATTAGACTTACTATCTAAAATATCGAAGGGTCCAAACATTATTTTAATTTATAAAAACGGATACTGTAATAGAATTTGCTTGATCGTCTTACCTGCTACAGATAGTTGCAGATGTATTAGTAAAAAGTATAATTATCTAGGCCAAATTTTTAAATAAATATATTCAAAACTTACTTTCTACAAAGTTGGCTATATTGTATTCCCATAAAAAAATCAGTTTTACAAAAATCTTTAAATAATGAAGAATACTTATTGCAGGATGCCACCTACGATTAACTAAATATGAATAAAAATAATTAACATCAACTTGAAACTTTAGGATCAATGTAAAATATGATAAATTTTACTTACTATCTGCAACGTAGAAAAAAATATAATTAAATTATGCATTTTGAAAATATACTGTATAATAATATTATTCATAATTTCACTCACCCCCTGCAAAAATCAATAACTATTAACACAATTAGATTACTTCATGTGAAAAGAATGTGAGATTTTACTTACGATCTACAATATAATGAAAAAAGTTATTCTATACTTAAAATAAAATAACGATTATCGTATAGTATCAAAATCAGATCGACTTACTGTCTGAAACAAGTGACAGCGCATAATTAATCTTTCAACAAATTATGAAAAGGAAAACCTATACTGTACTTAATTAAGTTCACTTACAGACTAAAAACAAGGCCAATACACAATCAAATTATTTCTTATAAATTTGAAGACAAAGATGCAAATATGTGTAAATTACTTACAAACTGCAATATAAAAGAGTAAATTGTCATTAAAATCATTTTTGCACATTAGTTAGGTATATGAGACAAAAATTGACAATGTAAATATGATGAGTTCAACTCATAATTTACAAATTTTGATAATTTTTATTTTGACAAAACAAAAAAGTATGTTAAAGTTTACCTTCTCTCCCCAAAATTAAAAATCATGATTAATTCATCTTTTTATAATTGCAAAATAAATTTAGAAATTTTCAGAATCCACTTACGCCCTATAATGTATATTCAACAATATGTTAATATAAAAATTACTTTACAAACTAATGAAAAACATTTCTATTTAACTTACAATCTACAATATTAAAAATGAGGAAAAAATATTTTAAATCATTTTCAAGCATATTTGCGAAGCAAATAATAAAACTATGCTCACCTTGTATATTATATAGTAATGAGTAATAAATACAACACATCAGTTGCAAAATAAGTATGTTGGTTAATTTACCACAAACCACGTACTGTATATTAGGATTAACTTACCATCACCATCTATAGGATCGACGATGATGATTAAAGTACGTACATGTAAGCCTTCATTTTTTGTTTAACAAATAAATCACAGTATTATAAACTTACCTGTAGCTGAATAAAGTGAACAATTGCGTACGAGTATAATTATTATAATAATCTTAATGTATATATTTAAGGAATGAACAGGATACAGTATGCATGATTCAACTTACTCGGGTTATAATTATTTATATATAATTAAAATTAGTTTCATACGTTATGAAATATCAAAAAAAAAAGACAAGAGCGCGCAAAATAAATAAATAAATGTATTTTAACTTACTGTCTATAAATTTGACAAATATATTAAATAATTTTCAGATAAATTTTTACGAAATAAAGAAGCATGCCTTCGACATTATCAATACTATTTAGTAAACTAAAAAATATAACACATTAACTTACCCACTATAAAATCAACAAATCCCTTAAAGTATGAGCTTTCAATATGCAAATAAAGCACTTTAATAAGAGTTATGAATAATTAACTAAGTTTTAGCTTACAACCTGCAATACCGTATTAATATTAAATTAATCCTTTTTTCGTATAAATTTGCAATGCCGTAAAAATTTACCTAACATATTTACTTACATTCTAAAATTAACAGTTGTTAATATAAGTGAAATTACTTTCCATAAAATTTCGATAATATAAATTATAAGTTAAAAGTAACTTATTACCTAAAAGTTAAACAAAAAATATAATTATATAGTTACAAGTTTTTTAAAAAAATGAAGATGATACTTGGTTTACCATCTGGCAGATCTTAAGTGAAACTGTCGATATATGTTATAAATAAATAAATAAATAAATAAAAATAACTCTAACCCAACCTATTCCCACATTTCGTAAACGCTTTGATAGTTCTGAAATCATAAATAGGCAATGTCTTTGAAGGCGATAGAACGCAGAATATAAATTATTTTCTGTAGTTTTAAACAATACGTGTTGTATTTTATATAACAATAACGCGACCACAATTATAAGATTCAAAAATTCCGTTTACCTTCAAAAAATAGTTACTTAAATAATATTGCCTATTACGTAAAAGAGAATCGCAGTTTTTCTAATTGCTGCAAACA